AAATTGAATGTTAACTTAAATGTTTTAGCTATATTTTGCTTGTGTTACAGTCTAATTGGAGTAATTTTTAATTCTTTTTTATGATCTGAATTGCTGCCTACTTCCTGTTAAAATGGAGGCAGATATTGATTTATATTTGTATCAGATAGTTGGGTGAACATTTTCACACACTTTTAACCGTTACATGTTTGCTCACTCAATGACAGGACATTTCAACATWTAATCAACTCCCAGTCCTCCTTCTAAATATCGTTTTACATACTTTGGCTTTTGTTAAAAGAGAAGAAAAGCTACAGAATCCTCACCCAAGTTTGACATGATTATTTTCTTGTATTTTGATATGTTGTTAATGTGAATGTGGCACAATATTTTAAGAAAACGGTTGATGAAATTGCAAAGACAACAGAAAAATATAAAATGAAGAAGCAATATATTTACCAATGATATCGAGAATAGAGTGCACCAGGCCTTTATAAGACAGGAAGACAAAAGTGCAGATTATAAAACAAGACAAAAGAATCGTGAAAAAAACCTATTCAATAGAATAGTTCAATAGAAAAGGAATCTTAGAAACTTACAGTAGACAGCATGAATGTCTGTCACATTAGTATTTTACRTGTGTGTTTAATGTATGAGATATGAGAAGTTAATGAAAAAAATCACTAACAATTTCTATGTGTACACTCTGCATTTCTTTTRACTGTTTATATAAGTTGTTAAAGTTGCAGCAATGTGTTAAAAATGTGGTCAATAATTAGACGTCAGAATAAGTTTGCAAAAGAAAAGTTGATCCTCTTCTAAAAATCCTGCAGCTCACAGCCCGTCAGCCAGGCAGGGCCTGTGAGTTTTAGGCCCTGGGTCTTATCAGAAACAAAACAAYAACCCTCTGAGGARCAGCTGCTGTTCTCAAAGGAATAATGATGACTCACTAAATCTAACTTCCTGGTGACACCGCTGGGGGCGGTACTTTCTATGTCACACATTAGAATATAAACCAAGCTTTGTTAATGCATAAAGAGAGAGCTCATACTGATAAGACATACTGACTCTCTCTCGCTGTTAAAAACATATGACTGCTATTTGACCACAGAGTGTAAAATACAAGACTGGATCCAAAATTTAGTTAATCATACAAACTTTTCTTCGGATGCATAATTGATATTAAAAGCTGGGGTTTGTTGACTATGGCTAACACAGAGAACAAATTTAATTAGTTTTGTGACATTGTAAATTAGATTCAGTGGGAATTCAGTGAGAATGTTTTGGACAGTTTTGACTTATTTAGCCATTTTTGTCTTCATAGAAAATATGTCACATTGGACCACTGATCATTTCCTTTAAACAAAGCAGTTTAAACTTTTCATTTGTTTTGTTTTTACTAAGATGTCTTTACAAAAATGTGACACATTGTCTTCACATTGATTGTTTTCATAAAATATACTTTTTCATTYCCTTTGCTTAAGAAATCACCAGATCAAGATTTTGGTTTGTCTGTTTAGTAAAAGAAAATCAGGAAACTACCAGAASAACTCTGTAGAAGCTAATTAGAACTTGCTAAGCATTTAAAAGGAGTTCACTTTATTTMAATAATGTCGTTAAAACAACTTAGCTGAGCAGCCAGGTCTTTTTACTACTGTCATTGTGAACATATTAGCATACTAAGATTAGCATTTAGTGGTTGCATCTCCTGGTACAGTCCTAGGTCCTGTCCAGAGAGAAGGAGCAGCTTGCCCTCTATTAACCTTTTCTAATTGTACTTTCAGCAGAGTACCTTTCTATGCTCATTGGTGTCCTCCTCTGCTCTAACAGATAACAAAGATGCTGGTTGTGGTGGTGATTCTTTTCGCCTTGCTGTGGATGCCTTACCGAACAGTGGTGGTTGTCAACTCCTTCATAGACCCGCCTTACCTCGACTCTTGGTTCCTCCTCTTCTGTCGTATGTGCGTCTACACCAACAGCGCCATCAACCCAATCATCTACAACCTCATGTCTCAGAAGTTTCGTGTCGCRTTCAAAAAGCTCTGTAAGTGCAGCTGGCAGCAAAGGGAGGCCAAGTACAACATGCCGATTTACTACAGCGCGATGAAGAATTCGTCCCACGGAAGCAATGAAGCGGGTACAGACCAGGARGAACTCAGCAGCCAAACAACTAACCGTTCGAACATAAAAGGACAAAAATAATGCCACACACCAGGTTTCTTAAGAAAACATTATTTCTGTTTGAAAAAGTCAGAGTTTATCTAGAAAAAAAGTAATTTGATGTTTAGTTTTCTTGTTATTTCCATTTGTTAAAAAGTGTAATTAGAATTTGTAAATATTCATCTATTGAAGAAATAATGTAGGGTTTGGTGTGTGGACTTACAGATGTGCTTTTGATGCTTGGTGCTGAAACACGCAGCGGTCTGAGCTGAGCTTTGGTTTTCTTGGCCACAAAGGCACTACAAACTGGGTCCATGTCACACACATTACCAAAAAACTGTTTTATTTTAAACGCACTGAACATTAAATACTAACTACTTTAATTTATACTAAAATATAAAGACGAAAGTACTTGAAAATAATAAACATTTAATGTGATGCATGTACAGCAGATGCCTGTTTTGCATATTTTGTATTACGCCTTCAGACAATGCCCATGCTTTATGTTAACTAGATTTGTCGAGAGTCTGTTCTGTGCAACAAGGCCTTTGTTATGAGTGTCTCTGTATCTCCTGAGAGCTCTTGTCCTTTCCATGTGATCACCACACATTTCTGACGCACTGATGACCCACAACCCACCGTCCATTTGCCCTGTTCTTAGTAGGCAAAATGTTTATATAATTTAAATGAGACAAGACAAAAATTATAGACAGAATGTGAATGCCTATAAATATGTCTGTGGTCATTCTGTGCATCATATCTCATGCATCTTCAAGGATTTGCAGTATTTAATCAGTAAAACACAAAGAAAGATCTATAACTGGAATCTAAACGTATGCAGTCCCTAAAAGGAAGTGTTCAGTATTATATCAATTATATCAATTGGCTTTTTAGCCATAAATATTTGCCTGAACATGCAACTGTTGTTTGAGTTCTTCACCACTCTCAGCTTTATGAGAGAGTGTCAAAGAGAAAACTACAAACTCAGATTAAATCTAGACCAGAGTTGGAAAACTTCATGTTTCAGTTCTTCTCTGCATAGATAGGGGATAAAATGATAAAATGAAGCCAGCGGGTAAAATGAAGGCCACAAAATATCACCAAATCCTGGAGAAAATTCTGACGCTGTCTGCAAAAAGACAGTTGTTCCTCAGTCCACCTGCTGAAGCTTAGTGGTCACAGGTATCTTGGTGGTCTCTCTCACAGTTCAGTTTGTAAGAACAGTTTGCTCTTGGCAGATTGACTCACGTGTCATTTTTCCTTTTGACGATGGATTCAGCAGAACTAGGGATGTTTAAGGCCTGGGAAATCCTTTCGAATGGCTTGTACTTTTAAAAATATTTTCTATGATTTGAATTTGGACCATCACTTTAAAAGGGAGAGATTACACAATCACATATATTAAATGTCATATTTACATTACTTGGTAGAAATTTTATTCAAATTTAGTTTTTGTAAAGGGTTTTACTTATTATCAAAAGGCCAACTTACCACGGAGTTGATTTAGGCTGACTTAGACATCAATAAATGGCTAAAATATCCGCTATGCATACTTAAATGAACACTTTTAGGTACTGTACATGATTTTTTATTTTCTGTGAGGCTCATAATTGTCTACCTTTCACTCAACATTGGGTCTGATAAAAGATCTTAACAATAGACCATAAATGGAATTTGAAAAGTGAAATATTTCTGAATTTGTTTGTCCTATTTGTCTCCCTTATTTATTGAACATGTTCTGATTTTCTTTTCAAGTGACAAATAAACCAGGTTTAATCTCTCTGTGTTTGATTTAACTTCCAGGCCAAGACTCTAACAACGCTGAGAACATCTACAGCAGAGTGTATTCTATCAAATGTGTCGACTTTTTACAAATCAGTTTTTATCTACAGTAATAATGATTTCCTTCTCTCCACCTATAGATGCTCACAGTATTTTTCCTTCAGCTTTTGTTTAGTGATATTTTAGTCTGTAGAAGTTTCCATCCTGTGGTGCTCAGAATACAACAGGAGTTTTCTCCTCCACATGCTCAGTATGTTAGCATGTGAGTGATTTAGTTTTACCTGAAGCAAGAGACAAGTTGGACAAGCGCTCATCTCCTCAGAGGGTCTCACAAACTGATCTAGACTAGGAAGTGTCAAGCTAAAATGAATCAGCATGTGGATACCACTCARCATGCTGCAACTAYKCAAAATATAACTTTCCTTGTTAGAAAGTCTGGAAATCTGTAAGTTTAYGYCACACATTAGGTGGGTCATAAAGCCACATGAAGCTGTGCTGCTGAATCAAACAGAAGGCAGATATCAGAACACACCYGTCAAAACTCAGCTTAGCTAAAAAGCAGACATGGTATCGATGTTTCCTTCAAAAGAAGCACAAAACATTTAACACACATTTAAATCTAAGCCACGCTTATTTGCAGCTCAGAATGTCTTTGTCAGATTTTCATTTTAGTCATTTTTTCTGCTTTGCTATAAAATTTTGAATAATAATTTGCATTTTCTGTGAAAATACAGTGTGAATGACAATACTGATTCACAATCTTAAACGACAAGATCCCGCTGGCTCACAACCACAGGTGTGACCTCTTGAGTGTCCAAGAACACTGTGCTTTGTGTCAAACTAAAGGAATTAATTGTTCTGCTTTTCTCCTTACAGACCGCTCATTGAGCTGACATTGTTCAAGCTAAAGCCAAAATAAAAAAAAACCTTGTTGAACCCTGCTCCTTAGCGCCTTGTTTCTCCAAGTACARTAAATCTTACATTTGCCTTTGTACCTTTATATTTAGCCTAGTCTGTGTGAAAAAAAAATCTTTACCTAAGAACCCCTGAATCGTGACCATCCATGAATTATGTGCTGCTTAGTGTCCACAAGTGTTAGGATGGATGCTGATGGCCCTTTYCAAGCATTAGCCTTCCTTCTTGTATAATGTGCATATGGACTGTCACTTGGGGCTGATTCCATCCCAGGGTTTTACAAAGTGGACTGAAAGCCATTTAATTCACCTTCAGAAGAGCTTTAATGCTTTACTCAACTGTCAGACAGCTCTCTAAGGACTCGTTTAAAACTGGTGTTACATCACCTAACACTTCACAGGAAAAACAATTATATAT